TTTTTTTTTTTTGTCTTTTTGAGATAGAGTCTCACTACACAGTTCAGGCTGGCCCTGAGCTCACTATATAGCGCTGGTTGGTCTCAAACTCAAAATAATCCCAGCCTTCTGCATGCTGGGATTACAGGTGTGTGCCACCATGCCTGGCTATCCTAACCCCTTTAAAGTTTTTCCCCCAAAGGTAAAAACCACCATACTGGTGGTGTAATTATTGTATACAATTTTCTGGTTTTATTTAGGTTTTTTGTTATATAACCACAATCTAATTTATATGGATAAAGGTGGCAAATTAATAGTTACCGCAGTTTATCATTTTCTAGGCTGTTTCATGCTATTGTTATTGCTAATTGCACTACTTCAGCCAAAGTGACATAACTGTTCTAATCTGTAGTTCTTTGTATGCCAAGACTGAGCTTGCTGAAGGTCATAAAAAACACTATAGGCCAGTGCCAAAAAACCAGGGGCTAGTCCAAGTAGGCAGCAACTTCTCATCTTCAATAAATTAAAGAGGTAGGGTCTTGCAACAGAATCAAACTCTAAAAGCCAGCTCCACTTGGAAGACATCTCTGAGAATTACTGGTTTCCTAAGGTCTCAAAATAGTTGCAATAAAGCTATTTGCCATAAGTAATTTACAAGAATCAACCCAGAATGAAACAAAAATTAAAATAGAAAATGAGAAGACACATAGGCAAGTTGAATCCCCTTACTTCCAGCTCACCAAAGGCAAAACTAGGGGGGAATGAGGTAGGACAATACAAAACCCACCCACCTGGATTCTCTGAAATGGTAACAATGGAAGTAATAAAGCAGATAAATGAGGTTCCAGAAAAAAATCAAATCAGAAATAATTTCTCAGGACTGGTGAAGGCAAGGTCTTGGTACTGTAAAGCTCCCCCCAATACAAAAGAACTTTAAGTCAGGTGTGGTGGCACATGCCTGTAATCCCGTCACTCAGAAGGCTAATGCAGGAGGATCCTTAAAAGTTTGTGACCAACTTGGGCTACAAAGTGAGCTCAAGAGCCTGCCTGGCAAGTGCAAGGTCCTGAGTTTCATCCCTGCTACCAAAAAAAATAAAAGAAAAAGAAAAAGAACGTGAGCTCAAGACCTGCCCAGACTGCATAATAAGACCCTATTCAAAAAGATAATAAATGAAAAAAAAAAAAAAA